TTTACACATACTGATTTCTAACATATTATTCTCACTGAGTGATGTCAATGGTATTGTGATCTAGCAAAGTTAAAATCATTTAACTAAAGATGTATGATTTTTTCCCTCTCCCTCATACCTAAGAAATATGTATTTAAACTGAATCTGTAAGACATTAAAGCACTCTTGACTGACCATCTTGAGTCTCCTGTCACTAAATCCTCAGTCCGCCTCCTGGAACCCTGGTTCAGGCAGGGCTGGCCCCTGCACTCCACCTTCTTCCTAACTGAAATTCCAGGGCTGGAACATATTAGCATCTGGATCTCCATTCTTATTTGCCTTCCACACCTAGTGGCCATACCGGGCGATTGCATCATCCTCTTTGTGATCAGGACAGAATCCTCCATGAAAACGTGTATTATTTCCTGTCCATGTTGGTAGTTTCTGACCTGGGCCAATCCCTCTCTTCTCTCCTGCTATGATGGGGATCTTCTTATTTAATGCCACAGACAGTTCTCTAAATGCCTTCTTTGCTCAAGCAGCATTCTTTATCCATGGATTTACAGATATGGAGTCCTCAGTTCTTATGCCCTTTGGCTACTTTTTGGTCATACACAACCTTCAGAGATACAACTGTTTCCTGACTAGTGCCTGAGATACCAAAATGGTGTTGGTGTTTCTCATTAAAAGCAAGCTCTTTTAAAGAAGTGCTCCCACTTCCTTTCACTCTAGAAAGATTAATATATTGTAGGAAAAGACTACTTTTTCATACCTGTTTTCTCCATCAGGTTGTCATGAAGCTGGCCTGCTTTGATAACACAATCAGCATTTTCTATGGTTTCTTTGTTGCTCTCTTTATGATGTCAGACAGTGTTTTCATTGTTGTGTCCTATGTGCTTATCCTGAAGACTTTGATGGGAATTGGATCCCATTAGGAAAGGCTCAAGGTCCTCAACACCTGTGTCTCCTACACCTACACTGTGCTAATCTTCTATGTATCCTATATTGCTTTGACTTCAATGGACTGTTTCAACAAACACAAATCTCTAATGGCCATGATCATCACTGCTGATATTTTCTTGTTAGTGCCACCTCTAATGAACCCCATGGTATAATGTGTAGAGGCATGGCAAATTAGTGAAAATGTGCTAAAGAAATTAGGTCTAAAATAAAGATAAGAGAAAAACTGGAGTCAGGCTTAGAGAAGAAAATTATGTTTTTCTATGTAAAGTGTTATGGATGAGTGATGATTAGCTGTCTTAAAAGTCCTTATAACTAATACAACATATGGGCACTATGTAGGCTCTAAGGTCTCTAAGACTAAGACTGATATGGGAATTGACAGATATTTATTGGATAGTTATGCAGTAGTATTAAAATCCTGAATCAACACACTAATATGGAACTTTAATTGCACTGTTTAAAAGCCCTGGAGGTTCAAATGGTTAAGAGTACAGTTACTAACCAAAAGGTTGGCAATTTGAACATACCCAGATGGATTGGCTAAGTGGCAGCAACTATGGACTCACGTGTGGCAACAGTATAGTGAGGTTGGCCCAGGATCAGGCAGTGTTTTGTTCTGCTGTGCATAAAGTCACTATGGGTTGGTACCGACTCAATGGCACCTAACAACAACAACAAGTAGCTCTGCAGGAGAAAGACCTGGTAATCTACTTCCATAAAGATTAAAGTCAAGAACACCTTATGAGGCAGTTCTACACTGGAGTCACTGTACATAAAAATATGACTCAATGGCACCTACCAACAACACAGAAAAAGAATAGGCACATAGATAGTAGAAATTCTATCTCTGTATAAAATAAGGTGCACCTGAGTCAAGTCATGGTATTTTCAGTAGCCTCATATGTCTGTGAAAGTTGGGAAATGAATAAAGTAGACTCTACAAGAAATTATGCATTTAAATTATGGTGTTAGAGCATATTGAAAGTACTATGGACTGCTTTAAGAAAAACACAAATTTGTCTTATAAAAAGTACAACCAGAATGCTTCTTAAATGTGAGAACAGTGACACTTAGTCTTCTCATTCTTTGGATATATTGTTAGGCAGGACCAGTACTTGGAGGAGGACATCATGCTTTGTAAAGTGGAGGGTCAGTGTAAACAAGAATGACTCCCGACAAGATGAATTGACACAGTGGCAGCAATAATGGTCACAAATATAGCAACAGTTGTGAGGACAGTGTAGAACTGGACAGTGTTTCCTTTGCTTGTGCCTAACAACAAACCACATAGATAATGAGTAACAAAAGATCTGGAAGTTAAAAGATGGTATTCCAACACAGTTGCTACCCTTCTTCCAGGTGGCCTCTAGATAATATTTGTTGGGTGCATTCAATCATTCTGTGGGAATTCTGCATTCACCATTTAAGTGAAAGATATCTATGGTCAAATATGCTTTGGCTAACAATTTTTCCCTTTGTTCATAGAAATAAACATTGACATAAACTTCCATTTCATAAGCAATTAATTGGACAAGTTATTATCTCTTTTACCTTAGCCTTCCATTATGGTGGAAATAAATGCTCTTGGGAGTCCTGGTGTCATACTGTGGGATAAAGCACTGGATTGCAAAGTCTGTTTGAACCACGAGGCCATAGTTCAAATTCACCAGCTACTCCTTAGAAACCTTATATAGGGTCACTATGAGTCAGAAATGACAGTACCAAAACTGTCTTGTAACCTTTTTTTTTTCTCTATATATTACTCTAAGGTTTCAAGAAGTCATAGTTACTAAAAGGAACACAGTGCTGGTTTTGCTAGCAATGAAGAGCAAGAAGGAGAGTGTTATAATAATTTTTGAAATGTTGATATTCTTGATTAGCTGCTGTAAAATAATATATGCAATAAAATGAGTCTCTTGCTTGTTTATGCACATGGTACTTTGATATATTCAGTTAAAAAGAAAAAAGCAAAACTAGATACAGTTTTAAGCTAGCAGATAATATTAGCATATATTCAGCAATATGAAGCCATATTCATGTGTATAATTCCATTAAAAATAAGTATAGTCATCTAAAGCTGATTGAATGTCTTGAATTATTTTCTGTGAAAAAGCCACTTGTTTCTCATTCACTTTTATTTGAAGAAGGAAATTTTTCTTTCACCTTAGAAGCAGGAAAAAGTAGAAATCTTAAAATTGACAGTCAACCTTTAACTATTTTGTACTATGCATGTGAAAAATCTCTTTGGACTCAATCAACATTTCTCTAATTATGGTATTATATTGTTATAATTTGCTACAGGTCCTCGAAAGAATTTCATAAATTAAATTTATTGCTATATCTATAGTACTTACACAGTATATATAAAATGACAGCTCCCTAATATATGTCCTGACATAACATCTTCCAATGTGCTATGAAAAAACCAATAAAGAAAAGCATCTTTAACAACTAACAATATGATAATAAACTATAAGTATAGTGAACACTGAACATCTAGAGTGATAGAAAACCCATTGCCAGAATCAGTAAGAGTAGACATAAATGACTGTGAATATTGTTGGTAATGATTACAGAAGAGGAGATTGGAGCTCAAGCAAAGCAGAGTCACAAAGTTGGCAGCATTTGAGCTTCATAATTGAAGCTTTGTATGATCAAAGAAAGCTAAAGCAAACATCCCAGATTTTGAAAGAGATATTCCCGAGTACTGGTGTGGTGCTGTAGGATAAGCACTGGAAGGCTAACCACTAGGTTGGCTGTTCTAATCCGCCAGCCACTCCTTAGAAATCTTGAACAGGGTCGCTATGTGTTGGAACTGACTCAATGGCACTTAATAACAGCAACAATTTCCTGTCTGTCACAGACAGGAAGTTAATATAGGGGAAAATGGCCCATATCTGAATATCTGCTTGGTTTACTGTGTTCAGACATGCTATTATCTAGGGCAAAACCAAAGTTTCATAATTTATATATAGAAGAATTATTTCTATCACTGTATAAAACTATACCTGAGATTCCTTTGTGAAAAAACAAGTATTGTTAATTAAGCTAGTCCTGGTGTGGCACTGTGGGGTTAATGCACTGGATTGCAAGGTCAGTTTGAACTGAAAGTTGGTGGGTCAAGCTCATCATCTGCTTCTTGGGAACCCTATTCAGGGTCACAATGAGTCAGAATCAACTCAACAACACTCAATAACAACAACAACAAAGATTGTCTATTTAAAAGCGTTACAGCTTCAAGTACACTGGAAGGTGGAAGTGGCTAACAGCTAAGTAGGAAATTAACAATCCAATAATTTAGGGCAAATACAAAAAGAATGTGGCTCTAAGGTAGTAGAACTTGAAGCGAAATATTGGAATCACAATTAAAACTACATTAAAATATCTTGTCAGTATAAAATGATTAAAGGCAATCTGAAATTTTATGTATTAGGCTTACTGAAGATGTGAAACAGCAACTAGAATTGAAAAAAAAAAAAATCCAATTTTCTAAGAAGGAAAGGGATTAAGGAAAATATAGACTATAAAGAATACATCTCTAAAAAGATAGGGCTCCCTAGAGGTGACTTCAGGAACTGAAACAAGTATGTAAAGATTTCCTATAGTTAAATAGCAGATTTCTATGTGCGTGCATTTGAGCACATATATAACTTTTCCTTTTACCAACTCAAGAAATATCTTCTTTGCCTTCTGAGAAATTTAACCACAAGGAAAAAAGATAACTCATCTGTACAAAAACTAAATTATTGCCATTTATTTGTGCTTTATGAATTTCTTTTTTATATACATAATTACATTTTTCACTTGGGATAAAGCAATCTCACTGTGTCTTTAATGTGCACAGAAGCCCATGTGATCATTATAAAAACATGTTTGCAAGGCAAATACACAATTACTTTGAATTTAAATTATAGTAATTTGTTTAAACTCTTTAATAAGTTCAGGGAAATTTATTTTTCCTTGCTCCAAAAATTCAGCTGGAATCACCTCAGCAACCAAAATGCCTGAGGATGCCAATGTCTTAAATCCTTTTGCTACATATATGCAGTGCAATCCCCCTATGACAATCCCCTACAGCTTTGACCCCATCTTCCTCTAAGACCTCTCCCATTGGGGTCGCGTGAACCCCTGACTTGAAAAAGCTGAAGTATAGCCTGGCGGATGGTCTTGGTCTTCAAGCTGTAAGTTATAGGATTCAATACAGGTGGTAAGAGCAGATAAATATTGGCTAAAATGCTACAGACCACTCTTGGGGTATTGTTGAGGAGGCGATGTGCCAAAGACAGGCTGATCATTGGCACGTAGAAAATGATGACAGCACAGAAATGACAGACACATGTGCTGAGGGCTTTTTGTTGCTTCTTGGGGGCCACAATACTCATGACAGTACGAAGAATCAGGACATAAGAGAAAAGGATAAATAATAAGTCAGTGCCAGTCAGGTAGAGCTGAAGAAACATGCCCGCAAAACTGGCCACCCAAGGGTTAGTGTATGTATATTTGAGCATATCTGGGTGGTAGCAAAATGGGTGGGACAGCTCTTGACCTCCATGAAAAGACATATTCTTCACTGCTAGAAACATGGGAAGCATGAGAATTATTTGCCGAATGCAAATGACCAGTCCAATCACCATGGTCATCATGTCTGTGAGGACAGTGGCATACTTCAGTGGGTTGCAGATCGCCATGAAGCGATCAAAGGCCATGGCTACCAGCACTGAGGACTCCAGAAAGGAGAAGGTATGTATAAAGAACATTTGAATGAGGCAGGCTTTAAAGTTGATCTCTCGAGAATGAAACCAGAGAACCCCAAGCACAGTGGGGAGGGTTGTGATGGTCAGACTTAGATCAACAGCTGAGAGCATGGATAAGAAATAGTACATAGGCTTATGAAGAGTCCTTTCAGTAATGATGACAAACACGATCATGCTGTTCCCCAAAAGTGCAATGGTGTAAAGACAGCAGATAGGAATCGAAATCCAGACATGAGCAAGTTCCAACCCCGGAAAAGCAGTGAGGAGGAAGTTTGAGGAGGAAGATGTGGTGTTATTGAAAATTAACATGGTGGACTGAGGACACACCTGAAAAGAGAGACAATAATTATAGTGTCAATTAATGATATTGTTCCCCTTTTCATGTTCTAATCCCTTTTTTGAATCCTTTCCACAATTTCACAATCGTTTTTCTTTATTCTACATCCCCAGTCTAATTATGGTATCTATCATATAATTTTAGTGCATTGGACTTTCTGGGCATGTCATCAATTTATCTAGGCTCATTCCACTCTAGTGCCCAGACTAACTCTGACTTGAGCTTGAAGGTGCTTATTAACTTCTGTCACATAAATGCACACATACCAACAAAGCAACAATAACTATAGCTATAACTTTATGTGTCTTTGTATTAAGTCTCCATGCTATCTAAGTTTCTCTAGAAGTAATGGAGAGGCACATAGGAGCTACTGGGTACCTGGGATGGCAAGCTCTATAATTTTCTTGCTAGAAACTGGTTGGAATTTTGTAGTCAGATCTAACCTTTTCCCTGAATTATGGATCACACTCTTTTCTTAAACTCTTCTATTAGAAGACCTCTTTAGTAAAATGTCTTTCTATTACAGTTCCTATAATGTATTTCCTTCTCCACTCCATATGTTTATGGGATTTAGATTCATCTTATATTCTATTTCTTCACCTCTGTATACTTTCCCAGGTCTACTGATCCCTGTTATCCTTCTATCTTATACCTTGATCTATCTGTTTCTACTGATTTGCTGGATATCTACCATGTAATCATGAACCAACTTACTGTGAGCAGTGAATCTTATCAAGAATTCCAGAAATTCTTTCAAAAGACATGATTTAAGTATCCTGATCTAGGTATTGGAGATAAGCCTAGATAAGACACCTGCAATATCAGTTCAGATATTTTGTTAGTGTCGGAACAAGAGTTTAACCTTGAAGACCATACTTTTCTTCATTAGCTACACTATGATTGGGCTGTGTCCCCGTGCACCCATTTTATTTTATTGGAATGTTCAGGATGGCCAAACTTTACATTCCTCTTTTCCTGCTTTCATTCTCTTGCTATGAGTCTATCAATATACAGAAATCTCCTAAGAAAATTAATAAAATTCTCTTTTCAGGTTGCTGGTTGTACCTATGCTATTAGATTACTTTCTGCCATGGTGACATGTGCATGGAAAACAGTCATCCAAAAATGATGAATAACTTTGGAAAATGTATGAATACGCTGGAAGTAGGACCTAGTATCACAAAAAAGAGTCATTACAGAAACAGCCAGGTTATGATGTCACATACTAAGATCTCAAGTAGTCCAGTGGATGAGCAAGAATGGTATCTGCAAAGAAAACAGAACTGAAGATGCAAATGAGATAGAAACTGGGATCTATAGCTTAAAATGACCATTGCAATTCCTTTGAGAACTTGTTGCTGACTAGTGGTGTCGTCACTGCTGGTGTTTTATTTACTTAGGCCAAGTAGTCATCAACAAAGAGCTAACAAGGGATGATATACTTAATTCAATTAATTTTCTATGTGTACAAAACACAGTCTAAGTATCTTCATCTTCAGTAGTCTGGGCTTGCTTTACTAGTTATAGAGCAAATATAAAGAATGTTCATGCCATAGGCTACCTAAGTGTCACTAAATAAAGATGAATATGAGGGATTGTGATGTTTTTTCTGCAATATACTGAAAATAATAATAGAAATAATCATGTGTATATTAGTGGGGAAAAGGAGGGGGAGAATTAATTTTTTGCTGTAAACATTGGTGGTGGTGGTGTGTGTCGTCAAGTCAGTTCAGACTCATAGCAATGCTGTATAGCATTTCCAAGAATGGATAATGGATTTGAACTGCCAATTTTGTGGTTACCAGTCCCATGCTTATTCTACAGTGCCACATCAAGGTTCATTGTAATCATTACTATTGGTATATTATCCACTGCCAATATTTGGTTAGGAAAGAAAAGTAAGAATCAGGAAAACTCATGCTAAATGAGGCATGGATTATAAACATACTAAACTAAATCCAACACTAAGTCTCTGAATGACATTTTATGCCAGTTAATGTGCTAAGGAGTACTGGCTTGATATTGAAGGATAATCACTGCTAACTGTAAGGTCAGTAGTTCAAACCCACAGCCACTCCTTGGAAAGCTTATAAAGGGTTGCTGTGAGTCAGAACTGATTTAATGGCACATAAGAGAAACAACAACTGTGCTAAGGGCCAGGAAGACAGAAATGAGTGAAATTTTTCTGTATTTAAAACTCTCATAATCTAATAAAATTGAATGAAAAAGCCAAGACAAAGCATTAATGGGAAATCTTGGTGTGGTGCTGTGGGTTAATGTACTAGACTGCAAAGTTGGTTTCAACTACAAAGTTGATGGTTCAAGCTCACCAGGTGCTCCTCAGAAGTCTCTGTGGCTCAGAACCGACTTGATGGCACTTAACAACAACAACATTACTATGTGGGGAGCCCTGGTGTGGTGCTATGGAGAAAAGTTGGTTTGAACTGCAAGGTTGGCAGTTCAAGCTCACCAGCCGCTCCCTGGATACTCTATACAGGGTCACTATGAGACAGAACTGATTCAACAGCACTTACCAACAACATTATTACATGGGAGTCCTGGTGTAGTGCTGTGGGATAAAGCACTGGACCACAAGGTGGACTTGAACCACAAGGTCGGCAGTTCAAACCTGCCATCTGCTCCTTGGAAAACCTACACAGTGTCGCTACAACTGACTTGATGGTTCTTCATAACAACATTGCTACATGAGAAAACAATGGAAGACAAAATAGAAAAACATCACTCTTTGAGAATACAGCTGTTGAGATTTCTGGTTCATTATTCTTCCTCTTCTCAGCCTGACAAAGTTGAATATCAGAGCGAATCTCCTTTTATGTAATAACCATCCATAAATGCTTCTACAACACAAAATTACTCAATCCATTGAGTGTCCTCTAAAAGTATTTTATATCTTTATATATGCTCTTTATAACATTTATATTTTATTGTGACTGCTTGATCAGATTTCTTCCTCGCAGTAGAATATTGGCTCTCTGGGAACACAATTCAGTATATTCAGAGGTGCACTGCAAGAATCATCTGAAAAACTGAGGGAGGAGGCCCTGGCAATACAACCTTGAGGCCTAGGTCACACACAGAGGAAACTAACAGCTTCTTCTGCTTTTGTAAAAAGCAGCTTATCTGGGAACCCTCAATGAGAAAGTAACACGGTGGTCTCACCACCAGCCCTATGTAATCCTATATAAAGCTAGTACGAAAGCTATTTCAGGGAGCTTGATTTCTTAGGTATGTTAACCCACTGAGGCTCGGCCTGCAATAAAGCCTCTTCCTGTAATAGCACTGGTGGTCGCGTGATTGCTTTCTCCCCTCCCGTTCGGGCCTCGTCTTCCTGCAACAAGACCAGTTTTTTAAAACTCAGCATTGAAAACCTCCGGCATACGGTTCTGCTCTGACGGATTTGCTGTTGCCATCAGTCAGTATTGACTCAACAGAAACTGGTAAGTATTGTTGTTGTTGTTGTTGTTGTTGTTATGTGCCGTGGAGTCGGTTCTGACTCACAGCGACCCTGTACAGGGTTTCCGAGGCTGTAAATCTTTACGGGAGCAGAAAGCCTCATCTTTCTCCTGCGGAACAGCTGGTAGTTTCGAACTGCTGACTTTGAGGTTTGCAGCCCGATTTGTAACCACTACAATGCCAGAGCTTCCTTAAAATATTGATGAGAGATGTGAATAAATGATGAATGTTATAAAGATAGCTGAAGAATAAAAGATAAAAATATATACTGAGCCTGGAACCAGTTAGAGAACATAAAGAGTGCACCACTCTCATTGGTTGGTAAAAAACAACAAAGGAGAGTATACTAAAGGTAAAGGAGAATTAAAAGGCTAACCTTATTATACACATTTTACTAGCCACCCTATTAACATTTTATATAATCCCAGAAAATCGTTTGCGATTGATTTTTCCTTCTGTTCTAAGTAAACAAAATTAACCCAGTGAAGCTGAGTAGCATATCCAAAGGAAAATAGATACAGATACAATATTCAGAACCATATCTACTAACTTCAAAATCCAGTTTTGCACTAAACTATACCATCAGATGGAGCTCTGGTAGCGTAGTGGTTACGAATCGGGCTGCGAACCTTAAGGTCAGCAGTTCGAAACTACCAGGTGCTCCGCGGGAGAAAGATGAGGCTTTCTACTCCCGTAAGGATTTACACCCTCGGAAACCCTGTACAGGGTCGCTATGGGTCGGAACCGACTCGACGGCACTTAACAACAACATACCATCAGATAAGCCATATTTACAAAACAAATTGTGATATTCTTGTCTTAAAAGAATTGCTTATATTGTATCATAGATCTGTGTGTTTCATACCTTGAATCGAGATGAAAAATAAGTAAAATAGTGAACTATATTCTCATGACACATTTAATGCTCATGTGTATTTTTAAATGTGTGGATATCTGCATATTTTTGTGTTGTGTGTTTCCACATGTGACAATACATGTTAAGAGAAATTTTAAGGTGGAAGGACAATGGAGAGATAAGATGCAGTAAAGAAGTTTTATTCTTTTGACAGGGACTCATAAAGGACAGGAAGATTGACAAGGAACAGGGGGGAAAGAAAGAAGAAAGAAACTCATTTTGCTACTAGGAAGCTTGTTTTCTAAGAACGTGTCTTTCTGTGGAATGGAAATTTGAAGACAAAGCAAACAGCAGAGGACTTTCTCTCTAGCTCCAGTGAGTTCATACTCTCTGGAACCAGTAGTGGGACACAGTTAAATATCTCAGGTTTTCAAGATTTACTCTTCACAGACTACTAACCTGAGCAATAATCTAGTGATTTGTGTCTTCACTATAGATTCCACTTGACGGACTAGGAAGAGGTCAAATTTGTCTATTTATATGCAGAAGGTTACAAGAAATTACTTGAATAATAGCCTCCCAATTCAATAGCTTTGTGATCAAGTGTTAACATCCTTGCTTTCTGGCATCAATGAATGGGTATAGACAGACCTAGCCTTG